AATTTTGAGGGGAATCGGTAAAAATTGTAGAGATAATTAAAGGAGCCATTTGGAAGGAAACAAGACTGACCTTAAAATAGTGTCAATGAACATACTCTAAGTGGGTTATATTCTACTATTATTCTGTTTTGATTTTGCAAGCTTGCGGATAGGTGATCTGATTTGACTGTTTTTAGAGCATTGCATGTAACTAAGTGCATCTGTCTAACGCAGATCAATATTCGTGTTTTGTTTTCAGGAACTGCTGGTGATTCTCTTTCTGGTCATCGTGGTTATCCCTTTACCACCAAAGATCAGGATAATGACAGCTGGAGTATTAACTGTGTTGTGAAGTATAAAGGAGGCTGGTGGTACACTAACTGTCATCCCTCCAACCTGAACGGTCTGTAACTATCATCATGGACAACACTCATCGGTCGGTGATGGCGTCAACTGGTATCACTGGAGAGGATATCACTACTCCGCTAAGAGAGCCGAGATGAAAATCAGACCAGTGCACTTTTAAGGACTTTCCGTAGTTTTCTCGTTTACCTGCTGACCCACGTAGATCAGTGATTGAAAAAGGAATGTTTAAGGCTGGCTGATTAAAAAACTAAAAAATAAGTTTCGTCCGACTATTCATTATGCATTACGTACTTATACCATACTCTACAAATATGGTAAGACTAGGCGTGATTTTGGGGGACTTTTTATTTTTATTTTATTTTAGTTTTTATTTTGGGGGGCGTTTTCCTTAAAACAATTCTTCCACTCGCGCTTGTTGAATGTGAGATGATTATAGCCAGCGCCTCGTTGGCTATCTACCATCTCATATCCAACGCGCGCTCGTGGGAATAATTGTTAATTAACAGCAAAACCATTCTGTACAAGGGTAGCTCCACGAAATGGTGGTAATTAGGGCTATGCAACTCTTGAAACTTAATATAACGCAGTGCGTGGGGGATTGTGGAAAGCGCCAGAAAAAAAGAGTCCATTGCGGACGTCGATGAATAATGTTTTAGGCAGGATTCTACTTTTCGGGTTCATCAATACGCATGCTTTGCAATCATCGATTGTACTAACTGATTTTACTCACTTTTCTTTCATTTGTAGTTTTAAGAACTCGCTGTGTTTTAAAGTACCGTAGATCCTCGAATTAGCGCCCGGGGCGCTTATTTCAAATTTAGGAGAAGACGGGGGGCGCTTATTCGATGGGGGCGCTTAATCGAGGGGCGCTTATTAAATTTTTCCCAAAACGTGGCCTGGCATGATCATTTTTTTAATACATCATCTGCGCGTAAACAACATAAGCTGTTTATCGACATAAAAAGCTGATCCTATAGTTTAAATCGCGGCACCATTAGAAATTCACGAGGTCACAAACTGAAACAATGCACAAATGTAATACTATACGGCGAAAACTATACATCCTTTGCCGTCTCATTACTCGTCCACAAAATAGAGGGGCGGCGCTTATTCGAGGGGGCGCTTACTTTAAATTTTGGCCGATAGGAGGGGCGCTTATTCGAAGGGGGCGCGTATTCGAGCGGGGGGCGCTAACTCGAGGATTTACGGTAACAGTCCATTAGCTTATGAGGTTGTTTACTGTCATCACTTGTCTCCTTTGTGTTGATATTTTACCACACTACGAAACGCAATTATTTTAAAATCATGTTCAAATTTTCGTGCCGGGATCTTTCCAGTACAAGAGGGTTGAAACAGATTGAGCGTGTAACATCCGCTCAAAGCTGAACGTTTTCTAGAGATGTCAACATGGTAAGCGAGTGATCCAGACTAAAACAGATAAATCATCCATGACATTGTTTTTATTTGATATGATAAATATCTGTAAAAGTGGGCCAGGATCAAAGAATAAATTACTGACCGCAACACTAGGATTCACTTCACATACAAGTTTAACAACAGCAGAGAACTACTACAGACTGTTACAGTTCATCGTGCACATAATTCTACAGTCATACCCGACTACAAGTTGGAGCGTGCCAACAAAATCAAACATAATTACTCTGCTTTAAGCATAAGCTACAACTCCATAGTTGCCTGTACACTATTTTACTACATAACCTAATTGAAGTGCGTAAGAGAGCTCATTCAACACACCCGGAACTGTTCGTTGATATCGAACTTTCATCAATGTAAGTGTCAAAGAGAATAGTAGGAATACAAAATGAGCACATTATAAAACATGGCGGACAATCCTACTAGTGACAGCCTGAGCTCTGAAAAGCACAACACAGTTCTGAAAGCTTGCTTAATCATTCCACTGTTATGTGCAATAGAAAGCATAAAGGTGCTGTGTGACTGTTGAGCATCCTTTTTTATCTCATCATGTGTCACTTCTGCGTCTGCCTGGAGGAATCTAACTGGCGTAAGTCATTTTGCAGATTTGAATCACATCTAAGCACCGATATCTACCACTACTTTGTGCTCACGAGGGCTGCTGCTACAACTGACGGAGATATAGAAGCTCCAAGAAACTCCTTTACAAGAAACAAAAAGATTAAAAAAGTCCGTTGCGTGCTTTTTTTAACTGTCAGATGGATACAAACACTGTGGCATGTCTTGTTTAGATACAGTAAACTTTTGTCAAGAGTAAAATCCACAAGAACTTGGAATTGAAGGAGGGCCGGGCACTGTCTACCTGATGGATTTCAAGGATCAAAAGCTATCACAGCAGCCAGAAAAAACTAAAATCCATCACAGTTATTCGTTTTCTTTTGAAAACAAAAATACGTAAGTACATCGAGTACTGGGGTATAAAGAGTTCCTTCAACTACCCCAGTAACGTTTGGGAAGGAACCCAGGAGTAGCATAAGCGAGGATCGCCGAGACCAACCTCATTACAGATTAGCAAGTGACGGCCAGAGAGTCACACGAATCAAGTTAAAAGCTGAATGCCTCTTTTGTGGACCCCAGTTCGAGAGGCTTAATATAAATTGAAACAACTTACTGCCTTTTGTTGATGGAAGCTGTTAGATATGGAATAAGAAAAGGGAAACTCGCAATCTTCAGCAGAGCCAGAGCAAATTTATCATTGTGATGTCAAGTGGTTGTCGCGTTATTACAAACGATTAATCTAAGTGAATGTCGTATTTACAAAATAACAGTCAAAAGGATGGTAAGACAATAGACTTAACGCTTATTTATAGCATCCAAACGGCAAACCAAAACGCATTCAAGGTTCTGGCTCCACCCCATTTAACACTAAACTTGTATGCTGTTCAACTGAATGAGAGGCAAAACAGATTTGCCGATTTAAAATAGAAGTGCTTAGCCTTCACGTCGTAGATGTCACGCTACCTTATTGTCAAGTCAAACAGTTGTCACGCCATCCCTTGACCGTTTCAACACTAAAGTTTACCTAAGAAATACACGTGATATGATCTGTACAAAGTTAGTTTTATGAGGCGATATTCTGCTCGTCCTCTCTGCTCTTGACGTCGATTTTTTGCTCTTGCACGTTCTTCTCCTTGTCCCATTTGACGGAGTATTTGTTGTGCTTGATGGCAGTGTCAGTGACTGACTCGCAGGTCGTTGTACAGGGGTGAAGTCCATCCACCCGTCCCAGAAGCCAGTCACGGCAGCCACTCTCCTGGTCATTAGTCACGTTACTTTTCACCCAGCCACTTAACCACCCCTGGAATCTGGAGTGAAGACGGTTCGCCACAACAGGATGGCACTGGTAAACAAACAACAAAAACACTTAAACTCATCCTCAACCTCGATCTCTCCCTGTCACCAGGTCAAAATATTGATTCTCCTTACTGATCGCTGCACATTTCGTTCAATTCTTGTTCCGAGAATTAATTGCTACAGACAGCGACGATCAAAGTGAGAACAAGGAACATTTCTGCGAGAAAATTTCCGCACCTATTTATATTTGCTTCCCAGGAGAACCTGAAATTCTATCCTGCAGACGAGCTAGAGTCCAAGTTTTCTTCAATAGTTTAGTTACACAGACGTTTTTTAGCCACGGAAGTCAACCGAAAGTTTATGTTCTTGCTTTTGGTGCATTTTCACCGCGCACCAAGTTAGAAAGCTCACATTTTGGTACTTGCAACTTGACGTTTTTAACGAAAACAAGAGAAAATTCGACTCCTAGTTCACGTCCGTCTCTCCAAAACGCTTGTGCTTGAACTCCCTGTAAAGTCACTACATGTACTGACCTCTTTTGCTCTTTTCAAAGCTTGCCGTCTGTACAAGTAATCTTCGCTGCCTTTGACAAATCTTATCTTGTAAGAGTTTAAGCTCAGCTTGCATTCCATCGAGTTCTCAACTTCCATATCCTCCACCTCATCATTTTCCTCCTCTTTCTCGCTGAAAAAAAAAAGATGGCGGCTTTCCAGTTAATGTGACGAACATAGCGACGGGGATTTGTCAGACACATGCAGTGAAAGGAAAAGTAGCTTTTCTTTGAAACGCTAAAACAGTAAAACAGTTCATATTGGAGGAAGTTTATCACTGAGCTCGCCTGAAGTTTTGCAAACATCATGATTCGTTAAGAACTCAAGTCAATAAGTCGGTTAGGTGCAGTTACTGAACACTCGATCTCACTATAAAACAAAGCGAACCTTGCTAGGACGAGATGAAACTTGCTCGCGCGTTTTTAGCTTGGGAGCAAGTTCTCTTAGCAGAGAGAAGGCGGTGGCCCTGCTTTTCCAAATCAGTTACTTTTTTCGTTCGTGCCAACACACTGCCATCCTACAGGCATTTCTGTGAACCAATTTTACTGTAGGCTCACTTCTCTCTTTGCTTAAAATATTGCAAACATTTTCGCCCATGCCTTTGCTAACCTGTTATTTCCTTCGCTTTCAGCTTCGTCAGTGGAAGAACCATTGTCGTTCGTCGTCGACTCCTTCTCAGTGCTTGGAGTGATCGAGGATTTCATCCGTGCGTTGGAACGCACCGTCCTGTGAACGAAAAACAAGCAACAAGATTTAAAAAGAACCCTCTTTAATAAGTATTACAATATTCCTTTCAATGTTGGTTCCGAGATCAACGCGTTAAATCAAAGCAAACGCGTCATAAACAAGAACGTCGATGCAACAATTTCTACCAACTGTAAAATACCTGGCAGCTGTCAACAAAGAGTTATGATTTGAATAAAAGTTCTTCTTACCTTGGTAAAAATATTGGTTTGTTTTGCAAATGATCCTTAACTTCCGTGGACACCTCTTCACTGCCGACAAATTTTTCAACGTATTCATTCCATTTCTGAAATGAAAAGGGACAACTGCATTTAGGCGCATTAGATTTAGATTACAAGTGGCTACTGTTGTCGCCGTCGTAAATTAAGTTTATATTAACAACACACGCAATGTGGAAACAAGTGAAAAAGAATAGGCCACATCGGAGTTGCCTTTTACCTCTAGGTCAACAAGGGTATACAACACATAAGTAATACGAAAATGCGTCTCATTCATTCAAATCAAATTCATTTTCATATGAACTGTTTTGCATGAGAACTCATTTTGAAATGAGTCCTCAAATTTGGTGTCAAACAACATTTCTTTGTTTGAGAATGTATCGATAGCCTTGTAACTGGTCCGGCGTACCTCAACTTCCACTGGATCCTCTGAATGAGTGTCCTCAGTATCAAGTAACTCTATACTCAGCCGACAGATGTTCTTGTCCTTGTGCTGTTCAATGGGAAAGGGGAAACAGTTAGTCACACGATATCCAGGAAAAAAATCGACAGTAGAAGTTAACAAATGAGTGACCGACCCCTCATTTACATATCATTTGCATTATCTGATCACCCACCACAATTCCTAACTTGCCATCGCAATCACGAGTAAAAAAGACATGAAAATACTGATGGACTTACAATGACTACTTTGTAGCAATTCTCGTCCGACAACAGCGACTCGTATCTCTTCTGATAAGCCGCTTCTGACACCGCGCGGGTGTGCTGAGTAGCCGAGCTTCCACCAGTGGCCAGGTTGCCTTGCTCCTGTTGGTAAAGTTCAGTGACCTGGCCACACGACTCGTCGGTTACAATGGTTTGAAGCTAAGGGAAGAACAACAAATCACGTCAACAGTGTCATGGTCATGAGAGAGGAAGGGCGTTCTTAAAACTTTTGATTTTTGGCAGTCTATGGGTCAGTTTAGGTAGTTTTGATGAACACAAATTGCTCGAACGGAAAACAAAAGAACGATAAATATGAAATATTTAAAACAATAAATTTTAATAAAAGACACACTTGGGAGGTGACCCGGAGGTGACTGACGGTAGATCAACATAACACAAGCAGCACAAAAATGAAAATTAAAGAGGCCGAAATCTCGTAAGCCTGTGCTTCAGCCGCCCTCAATAAGTGAAAATAAACTTTCCCATTACAATCGCGGGAAGTTTTGTTATCTTATCCAACACGGCAACAAAAATGGCCAGCGTTACTTAGCTTAAAATTCAATCTCATTCCCAGAGGTAGCGATACTTTTGGTTAGAAACCGGAAGGTGAGCCATTCTTAGTCACAAAGGTTACCCTCTAAACGCATGTTCAGAGACCGTCATTGAACTTGACCGGAATCAGAATTCAGAATTTTTTGGTTCTGGAATTGATTTCGTCCAAGGTGTCACGTATTCAGTGACCACTGGCAGAAAACAAGCTGGTTCTAGCAGGGAGGGATCGCTTAAATTGGCTCCGGATCCCGGAGAACGCTTCTGGGTTTAATATCCGTGTTGTAAGTCATAAAGTCGTGAAAACCCGTCTCAAATAAAACCGGCATCTCGATTAAAATTTGAAAACGGTCTATTACGTACCTGCCTAACTATATTTTGAACTAATTTGTCCATAGTGAATGCGATGTAGGCATGCACGCCAAACATCTCGCGACATGTATCCTCAAAGTTTGTAGAATCCATATTACCTACAATGAACGAGAAACAAAAATCGATCTAAGACTGGGGCCACATTGTTATCAGACTTGAAACTATATTTCTCCGTATCCTCTTCTAACTTCAAGTAGTTTTTATTCTCTTCGAGACTAGTTTAAAAACACCCTGTCTGTGTGCTGTTTCTCTCCCAAAACGACGCGACTCGGCTAATCGTGAATCGTGAACTCGTGAACTGTGAAGAAACCCTGAGAGGAAAGAAAGGCAACATAACAAACCAACGACGTGGTTACTCCTCCTTACCGTCCAGCAAGTTTCTTATCATGTCTAAAAACGCCGGGTAGTATTCCTCAAGGTCTATCTCGCTGGGCGCTTTGAGTCTCAGCGCAATAGCCGTGGCCTGCTTTCTCTGTTGCTTGTCACAGGCTTCACCTTCAGCTATCATTACCGACTGTTGATACATCTTCAGCAGCCGCTCACAGAGCATCTGAAAAAGAGACAGTTTCTCCGTTACACAACAATACTACCGTATAACATTTGTCTGTTTTCAAACGTATCGTGGCGAGATTCATGAAACCCCACATACTGAATAAATTATTAAATCAATAACAACCAGTTCTTCACTCGCTATTTTGGTATGCAACAAAACGGGTGAAGCCACGCGAGTTTTATACATGTATGCGCATGCAGTCGTTCGTTCTGCAAATGTCTACGAAGCATCCAATGCAGACATTCTTGCGGCTCGTCAAGCAATCGTCCTCAATGAAGGAGGAATACATGACGAGATTGGAAGCCACAAAACAGTTTAATATGATCAGTCACCAGTCAAGGCCCTTAATGTGTATTTACCTGATGAAGTCTGAAGAGTAAATACCAGTTGTTATTTACATATATTAAATTGTAAGCATCGTCCTGTAAAACAAGTTGAGAAAACTGTCAAAAGTTTGAAGACTAACTCGCACATTTTCACAAAGTACAAAGAAAAGGAATCTGAGGGTCTACAAGTGTATCAGGCTACGTTCACAGCGCGAGTTATATGCTTGATATTTTGAACAATAATAATCTGTTGGGTATGACCTGGACACCACAGTTTTTACAGCAGTTTCAGATAAAGAGTTGGTGAATACACGACAGAAATCAGTTCAACCCTGCAGCAAGTTCACTTACCGCTTCAGCCTCAGGTAATCCATTAGTAAGTTCAGGTTTTCCTGTGTCACAAAGTAATATGTTAATTTCAAAGTCAATAAAAAATTCTATACATACAGCACTTCGCTTCTTCAAAATCAACCCAACTAATACTCACCAAGGCCATTTAACTCCTTTACCGAATCTTCATCATCACTCAGCTCACCCCTGAAACAAAACAGTTCTTAGATTGCAAATTCTCTTTACAGATGTCAATAAATTTCTTAAACTACAACTCTATAAGTTATGAGAGCTGGTATTTAAATTCCCCTCAGGGTTGGTTTTCACTAGCAATGGAGTCGAAATCAGAGTCGGAATTGTAATCAGAAACACTGAGCAATACGATGTAGTTAAAATCAAATCGACAGAGTTGGAAGCCGAATTCTGACTACGCTTATGATGTAGTACAAACTAGATTGTGATTGGTTGATTCTTCTGCATCTGTTTTTGACTCTGACGTAAGATCATAAGTCCACTGAGAAAAGACGGAGTAGTGAGCAGGAATCGGGAGAAAAGGGAAACGATCTGATTCTTCTGACTGCAATTCTGTAGAGCTTATGACTCTGCTTTCAGTTTTCACTGGGCCGTAAGCGCTCTCACGACTGCTACACCAACTTCGTCACTAGTGTAGACCAGCCTTTTCCGGTCAGTCCTCTTACCTTATGACCATAAATTATTCATGTCATGTGAAGCTGAACCTTCAATTCGGATCATATACTGTATGTCCTAATATTTCATATACATGTAAAGAAAATTTTCTGGGCGTGATTGCCACAACAGTAGACAACATTTTCTCTCCCACCCTAGCAGTATAATTGTGTAACGTACTTATATCTTTTGCAGTTACGACGATCAAGGACATTGATTTCTCACCTTGGAGCAAAGAACAAGTCCGGCAAGAAGCAGTGCAACAGAACTTTAATCCTGGCTTTGTCCTCCTTGTGAATACTGGTCTGCCTCTTCATGTGATGAACAATCAGACCAGCTGCATCATCCAGAATAGACTTGTCCTGGTAAGTGAAGGTCAGGTGAGGGCCTGTAGCATCTCCATTGCCTTCAGAAGCCTGCTCTTGTCTCTGAAATGCCAAAACACACTTATCATAAATGGAGCAGTTTCCTAGGTGAATATTGATGGTCTGTACAATATAATACCAGGACATTACCGGTATGTAAGCAGTAGCATAGATTTGTAACGTACCTCATCATAAATACTTTCAATCTCATTAATCAAACTTTTCGATCGCATCGCCTTCAAGTCGTTTTGTTTAAAAGTTATCCCTTGATGGTCCAAGGACTGCGAAAGCAAAAAACAATTAGACAACTCAGCTCTGGCCTCTTCCAACTTAACTTCTTAGATTATTCTAAAACATTGAGTAGTAGGTGTACTTTTAATTAAATATTATACAGTTTAATGTACTCAGGGTGTAAGGAAAGTGCAATGTGTAACCACCCATTCTCAAAGAAGACACCTGTTTAGATGTCTTTTCCTGTAATGCTGGAATATTTTTTTGGGAAAAATAAAACAAATTCCAACAAGAGTACTCTTAAAAAGAAAGGGTTAATGAATATCACAACAAAAATAACACCTTCTTTCTTCTTTCAAAGTTTATCAGGAGTGACACTACTATAAATTTACCTTAAGATAATATTTTTCATTCTGGTCTCTCCAAATTTTATTGAACTGTCTTTGAGATTCTCTCCATTCCTCTTCTTTCGTCTTCAATCTGAGTAAAAACAAAAAATTTAAAACGCCTCAACCTTTAGGACGATCTGTGAGCATGAATGGCGAACAACAGTAGCAGAAAGAGCAGTAAAAATGTTAGGGAAATTCCTCCAAATATGGCAGCCACACCCACTCAACAAATGAAGTGTTTTGAGCTACTACAAACAAGCTTTCCCTCCTCCACTTCAGACAATTCAAGACAATTTCTTGGAAGCAATTTTTCATCTATACGAACCATCTTAATTTGTCATGACTATTAGATGGCCTAGAGTTTATGAGCCCTTTGTTCTTAAAACCAAAAATGTCCTCACCTTTTAAGCACTAGTGGCACAGCAACCGCTGGTGTTTTCTTTAAACCATCAACAATATCAGGGGCTTTGTCACCATATATCCTAAGAGATAATATAATAATTTTTATTCGTGTAAAACTGAGTTAAAGAATATTCGCATCTGGCTTTAAAAAGATGACAATACCTTCAGTGCTTGCCAGAAATGTGAACAGGTCTTCATCATATATGTTTCTTCCAGATTGTTTGCTTTAGAGACAGGGTTATTACTGTTAAACAATCATGATCTAAGCTCAAGGTAGGAACACACAACATCATATTCTTACACACGAAAATGTACCTCTGGATAGCTTTTCTGTGGATGAACTCTGATGTTCCTCCTATACAGCTATCAAGTCTGAATTTTGCTTGCTCCTCAGACGGCATTCTGCAAAATGAAACATCACAAAGTTATGTATCTCACATGCCACCCACATTTATTTTATGGTCACCGATCCACATGCATTAAGTTTATCTACATACATGTGACAATTTACGTAAATGCCAAGCCTCCTTTTCAGCCTTAGGGCTCAGTAATGGTTTAGACCATTTTGTGCAGAAAAAAGTAACACGTATAAAAAGTACATGTAAGAGGAGTTTTTAGCTGGGTTATCAATTTTCCAATTCAATCCCTGGGTAGAAAGAAGCACCCAAGAATACAATCAAGGACAAAGTGGGTTTTTCTATCTCCTAAGACTGTGCAGACCACAGCACCTGCACATAAGTGAATTATCAAAGAAACATCACAAATTTGAAAATGAAGATGGAGTTAAATTTTCCAGTGTCATTTTCTAAGTGGCTTAAAGGTTTGAACTCCTAACATCTAGATATTACATCCAGTGCACTAATCATTGGACAAGATGTCACTACTTACCTTTGAAGCTTCTTCTGTATAGCTTCTAAAACACGAATAGTAGAAAGATTGGATTCTAACACAACATCCAGCTGTAAAGCAATAGTAAAAATTGAATTAGATTGATATATGAAGGTTTTCGTGCAAAAAGGGTGTATATAGCATTTTGGGCCGATTTTTATTTTTTGCAGGATTGAGCTAATTTTTGGCAGACTGACTTGTTTTGATATGAAAAGCATCGTTGCATAATTGTTTTTGTTGATTTGGGCTTCGTTTTCAAGAAATAATGTATGCAAATATAGTGGCCTTCATATGGTAGCCAAGCCTAAAAGCAAAGCTCCTGATTACAATAAGTTAACCTGGCTTGAGCCTGCAATCCAATCGAAAACCTGTACCTGGGCAGCAGTCAACTTCATAACACAAGTGACCTTGATGAGCTCTAAACATGAGCCCATGATATGGTCGCATGATGCTCGTCAGCAGATACCTTGTTTTGACAGGTGTCAATTGAACATAACATTGGTGCCCAATATCAAAGACAAGCCTGCAAATAACAGTCGCTCATCGGACAATTGTCCGGTAAATTTGAGGTTTTGACAGGTAAAAGCTTAGCCTGGTCGGATACTCTGACTGGGCATTTCTGCTAAAATGAAAAATATTTTAACTGGAAATTTGCGGCCGAATATGGGACAAGTTATTTTGTTATACTGCCACACAATACTACGCAATAAAGCTTTGTTATCGGTTTTGTTTTTATTCCAATTCTAAGAATTTTATCACGTGCAGTGCATCGTCTCAAAATGTTATAAATATGTCGAATTGTAAACACATCACATCAGCACCACTATACCTACATGTTAATTTATGCATTTTGCGGTGGCATTGTGAAAGATGGTGAAGCCCCATTTAGTCTGAATTATGTTCATCTGAAAAACTACTAAAAACTGAGGTCTTATGCTGCCAATTACTCGTTGTTTGTTGCTACCAAGTGTNCAAGGACACTCGTCACTCAACCAGTGCATCAAAGAGTTTCTAAAGGTTAGGTATAATATTTCAAATTGTAACCTGCTATGCTTTATATTTGTTTCAAGTTGTATTTGTCTTGAAGCATGTGATTGGTAATAAATACTAATTTTTATTAATTCTCATTTTGTTTTACAGGAAGAGAAGTTAGATGGTGATAATCAATATTACTGTACCCATTGTAACAGCAAACAGAATGCTGCTCGCTACATTGAATTGCACTCCCTGCCTCCAGTTCTCAATCTTCAACTATTACGATTTGTGTTTGACAGGTGGGAATATCAGAGTACTGTGTTTTCTTAGCATAATGACTTTTTAAAATTTTAAATCATATCAAGTGCAAGTAAGTAACACACAGAATATTAATTAACCAATCAAGCATAAATATGAAGTGGGCATATGTTTTGGTTTTACTGTTGATTGGATGAAAAAAATAAAAATAAAAGAACAGAATTTTTCTCTGAGGATGTATAAACCAAAAATGTTCTTTATTATTTTTTTAACAGGAAAACAGGCTACAAGAAGAAACTGAACTCGTTCATTCAGTTTCCTGATGTCCTTGATATGAAGGACCATGTGAAAAATGGATGCATTGGTAAGCAACTCATGTACATTGAAAAACTTTATAAAATAATATGATACATGTTTGAGTAATTACATGTACAAGCCTGCAAATAAAAGTAAGTCATCGGACAATTGTCCGGTAAATTTGAGGTTTTGACAGGTAAAAGTTTAGCCTGGTCGGACACTCTGACCGGGCATTTCTGCTAAAATGAGAAATATTTTAACTGGAAATTTGTGGCCAAATATGGGACAAGTTATTTAGTTATACTGCCACACAATACTACGCAAAAAAGCTTTGTTATCAGTTTTGTTTTTATTCTAATTCTAAGAATTTTATCACGTGCAGTGCGTCATCTCAAATGTTATAATTATGTCGAATTGTAAACACATCACATCAGCGCTACTATCCCTACATGTTAATTTACGGTGGCGTTGTGAAAGATCATGAAGCCCCATTTAGTCTGAATTACGTTCATCTGAAAAACTACTAAAAACTGAGGTCTTATTTAATTACTCGTTGTTTGTTGCTACCAAGTGTTGTGGAATTAATTTTCCGTCGTAATACATTGACCCGAAATTATAATAGTATGGAAATTGAATACAAGGCCCAGATACTCACGTTTCGTTTATCTTCAGGAATGCAATTGCTTTCAAAAACTTTAAAACCTCTAAAACGTGACCAAATGTTTTTCTAATCCATATGATCAAAAATGAGTTTAATTTTTAACTCTTATAGTTTTTTTTATGTCTGTCAGTGTGGTTGAAATACAGTTTCCGTACCACAGAAATGTTTTTGTGAAAAGCGTGAATGTACAGATTAGTCACGCTTTATAGTCACGACCACCTCCAATTCCACATTTTAAATAATTACGTAAATTTTTTATTCAATTGACCCCAAAAACATCCAGAGGAAACTTGCTTTCAGAAAAAGTCGAAGAATTCATTTCAGCCAATTTTCAAGTCTCTGAATGTCCACGCAGGAGATTGTTTCATCGCTTTTCCCATTTTCCTTACACATCTTGGGAAACTTGTTACGTTGGAAACGCTTGTGTGACTAGGGGTATAAACATTTGTAAATTTGTCAATTTTCAACAGGTAAAATAATACCAGAAGTA